AACCACTGCAATTCCTATCAAATTATTGGTTATATAATAGTTTAAGTCTTGAACTAATTATTGAATATTAAGATGTCTATTACATTGTGGTTTTTTTGTTTTTTTTTTAAAACAAATTTTATTAATTTTAAAGACAAACAAATCATCATTAACAATTACATACTTGAACCTTTTTCCATTATGAATTTTACAAGTCAACTAAAACCTTATTTTATACAATATAGTTCTATTTTAGACCATTTCCATATGAGCATACAAATACCTCTTATCCAGTTTCTCTTTACTTCTCTTTACTCTTATTCAATTTCACTATTATTATTTCATCTATTTCTTTCTGACTTGATTACCATTATTCTCATTCTGTATTTCTGCAAGGTTTTATTAATTTTCCCAGAAACATAAACACACAACACACAAACATAAAAAATCTTTTAGGAAAGTAACTTGGCCCCAGATACCTCTCTCTGCATGGACTTCAATTATATTCATGCTCATCTTGCATGTCATTACCTATTTTATTTACCATTCTATATCTTCTATATTAGCTTCTCCACACATTTCACTCTTCTTAATTCTATCTTATTTAATCCCTCTTAATTTAAGTCATTATATTTGTATCTTTTGTCCATTCTTTATTATCCATTTGTCTCATTCCCTATAATAAAAAAAAGAATTTCTCCTGAAATCACTAATCAGAGTATGATGCCTTTCTATCTTCCTCCTAAATTAATTAAATTAACATTTAAAATAACACCTAATACCCAATCTGATTCTGCTTGGTACATTCTATCTACTAATGTTTTTTTTTTTAAAAGAAAAATAATAAATCAGAAATGATTAAACATAGTTAAATAATGAATCTAAATATTAAATCTTATAACATTCCCATTGCCTTTTCCAAAAACAAATGCTACAATAATAATTTTATAATAATATCAATACCATAATCATATTAAACTCTTTAATTAAAACTCAATATTCTAAACATTCCCTTTAATATTTTATTAAATTTTAAAATCAATCATTACTAAACATTTCAACATTTTAATCTCTTATTAACTCTTAAACCATTCTAATTTTCTATTTCTAATACAAATGCTACAATACCATCTTATGTACCTTGCAGAATCTTTTTTAAAGAAATTATACTTTACCCTTTGTCCCTAAAAAAGATTCCTCTTTTCCCATCTAGTTTCAAAACTTTGTGGCTTTTCTCCACCTTTTCCCTTTCTTTCTTCTCCCACCAAACCTTTCTACCCCCACTTCTCCTAGCCTCTGCCTTGCTAGCTTCCCTTCTCTGTTGTGTTCCTTTTTTCTTTTGTTTACTATCATTATATTGATTTTGCATCTTATTTTTCTCTTTCTTGAGTGTTTTTTTAAATCTTAAGTCCTTCATTTTCATCCCTTTCTTTCTTCCTTCTTTCTTGATTAAACTTTGAAATTCATTAAAGATGGCTTCTTCTTCTTCTTCTTCTTCTGCTGCTGCCTCCATCTGTTGTAGTGTTTGTTGATAGATAGCAAGCGCCATTTCTAAAAAAAGGAAGGCTTCTTTTACACCATCTTTGCCATCTTTTTTTGTTTGCTCATATTCTTTTCTCAGTTCCTCCACAGAAAAAGACATTATAAATCTTTTCTTTTCCTTTTTTTTCCCCCTCTTTCTTCTTGCAACAACCAAAATATTTCAAAAAATAGAACAATCCCAAAGTCCCAACGTCATCAATCAATCCAAGACAAGACAAAGTTCTCACTTTCTCTTCCTGGGGTACTATCAATCAAAACAAGAAAATCCAAATCTGTATCTTAAAGCCTTATTACAGTACATTTCAATCTTCAAATCCTTAAGGCATCTCCTCCAACAAGATCTTAACATATAAATATATTTTTGTCCTCTCCCTTCCCACTTATCACAGAAAGCCAGTTTTTACCTGAAAAAGACAGGTTTCTCAGTATCCACTTATTGATTCCATAGGGAAGGAGAGTAAACTTTCCTTTCAGCACCTCAAGATTGCCGCTTATTTTCTCTACTGGAAAGCATCATTCAAAAAGCCATAATTTCCAGGAATTATATTAAATGTGTCTTAGAGTCCTGGGTCAACCAAGAAAAACTTTCCCTTTCAAAAGCTTTCTCCTCTTCCTCCTGCGCATTCTTGCCCAGCTGCCGGCTTCTTTGTGGCGGCCATTACGGACCGCCGCTGCACCGTCTTGAGAGAAGGGGGTTCTGCCGGCCGGGGAGGGGGTCTGCAACACCCCCAAACCCCTCTCCGGATCCCCCCTATCTTCAGCCACCCCTGCAGGGCAGCCTTAGCTCCAAACCCATCCGGATCGGAGCACCAAGAACGGCTAGCGCAGCGGGGATCACGCGGTATCGCGAATCCCTGCCGCTAGCGAAGCCGACAAACCGGAAGTTCCCGTCTATTACATTGTTATAGTGTTCATGTATGTGTATATGTTGATATGTTGATAAGAGGAAATAAAAGATCACTGAAGCAAATTTAATAAAAGTTAAAATATCTAAAAAGGAGAGGAGGAAAAGAAAAAAAGGAAATAAAAATTATTGATTTGTGACTCCCCCTTTTTCTATACATTTTCTAATTTGTTATATTTGTAAGCATTTAGACTTTAAAAGCCAGACTGTAAGTGCCTTTACCATGCTGCCTGATGGGTTGCGTGTATGGATACTTTTTCAATTATGAAATTATTAAGAAGGAGGAAAAGATAATGGAGAAAACAAAAAGGTGGGTGCATTTTCAAATGCAATTTGAACCTAGGACAGTAAAATATACAAAGAAGGTGTATAATGAAAGGCTTTTGCAATCATTGAAAGGAGGTGGGGCATTAGAAAAACCAGTTCTTCCCACAGATTTCCAATCAATCCCGTAGAGGAACCTGAATAGCATCTTGTGAACAAGGCCTGTTTTTCAAGCCATTTCTTTTAGGGCGGCTTTGATGCTCTGTTGCCTCGGCTCACGAATACAGCACACAAATACTTCAGGAAATCTATTACATTAGTTTGGTGAGGTGGATAAAATGCTGTCTGGAAGCAGAGTGACTCCAGCTTCAGGTCCGCCTGTCCCCACCATAGGGTGACTTTGAGCCAGTCATGAGCTTTTACCAGAGCCTTTCTCATAAATATGGACACATGGATATGTACAGTATACACACAAAGAATGCTCTGGCTGATGAAAATAACAGCTTTATTGTGTGCTAGGGAAAGGGAGACAGAAATGACAAAAATCAGGACTCTGGTAGGTCATTTATATATTTCACATAAAGCTTTAGCTGGGAATATTTTTAAGCCACCTTATGCTGTCCCAGCCAGTCCATGGGAATTGGATAGTTACTTAGGAATTATGAGCTGTCCCCTTAAGGGAAGGCATCATGATAAATGTAGTTAAAGGTATCCTGGGAAATGTAGTTCATGTCACGTGGCCACATCTGTAATCCGGATTGGTCACTAATTTAACCCTCCATGGGTTGGGGGAGTTTTCCTCACTTTTGCCTGAACTCCCTAACTCATGGCAGCTGCTTTCTATCGCTACAAGATGGGTTAGGAGATAACCATCTTTTACTACAAGGCAGATATGCAAAGGATTGGTCATTAAAGAAGAACTTCGTCACATATGTGAGTTATGAGGATACCTGATGAACCAATAAATGTACTTTGTTATGGACGTCCTGTTGAGTTTATCTATCTGCATCTGCACAGCTTAAAAATCCACTACTGTGCAGAATACAGAAAACACCTAAAAACATATAACATCCAATTCTGGTAAGATGTAGGAAAAAAATAGGAAACCCTAATTTTTGCATATGTTGTAATTTTATTTATTTTGCACTACTTTTGCCCATTGCATTGTTCAGTGCCCCCTCACCAAATTATATGTGATTTTCCACAACCAATTTTTGTGCAACCTAGTCTTAAAGGCTAATAGTATCTTGGTTCTGTAAAAGTGATTTTTGTAACAGCAGTAAAAACCAATGAATGTGATGTAGCAGGATGGTGAGGGAATTAACTCCCTTACTATTGGTCTAATATAGTTACGTTGATTACATCTGCATTTTGAAAAGAGCTAGGAAGTGCAGGCATTGGGGCCTACTGTACTGTACCCTACAAGGTAAAAAGAAATAAAAACAATACCCCAGTCAAGGAACTACAATGCAGACAAACAACCTAAGAGTAAACAACAGCCCAAAAGGAAATGAAAGAAGTGCTAAGAACACTCCCACAAACACTGACAGGGCAAGCCACTAAGTCTAACTTATAAAATAAGAGCAACCCCCCACTTTCTTCTAGCACTGATGATATTACTTGGGTAATGAAACGTCTGCAAGAAAACCACCAAGCTCGGAGAGCACGAAGGATCCCTCATGTCAACTCTGAGTTGCAAATATTATCTTCTTTTGATAAAAAGTTTATAGAGTAAGTCATATAGTCTTTTAAATTGTATTTTAGAAACACATAGCATAATGAATGATTTTAAAAAAATAAGACTATAAGAAAAAGCAGGAGATGAAACCAGAAATGGCAGTTCATTGGCTATTTCAGAGGGAAAATACCCAGGGCTTGATGTGGTTTTGGTTGTTTTGCTGGCCTTCACGTAAGATATAGGGCACAGGATATGTGGTTAATGCTGAAGGCATTGCAAACATGAATGGGAGGTTTGCCACTTAATTTGCTTTGCAGTTCAAATGCTCCGTAGATTTTGGGGGATAGATACATATATTAACAGATAAACAGTAAAGAGAGTCAGTATGAGATAATGATTAAGGCATGAGATTAGAAACTGGGAGAGTGAGTCTTGTTTTAGGCACAAAGCCAGCTGGGTATCGTTAGGTCAGTCACGTTCTTCCTTGGCTCTAGGAAGAAGGAGGCAAGGGTGAATCATTTCTGAAATCTTGCCAAAAAAACTGCAGGGACTTATGGGAAAGAAAATACTAAAGAGGAAAGGAAATCTTATCGGATATAAAAGTGTTAACCCTGACACTTTTATATTCAATAAACTTTAATGCTGGTCCTTTTTTCTCCCATTCCTCATAATGTAATGGAATTTCTGTTTGTTTGAAGCTGGGTGTCTGTTCACTTTTGAGACAACTAACATTTCTGTGCAAATAATGCCATATGAAACTGAACGAATTTAAAGCAGGATATAGAAGAGTTGATCATTCATGTTAAAAATGCAAGCTTAAAACTTCACCAAACATTTGCCAATTCTGAGCAAATTAAACATGCTTTAATCCACCACTAGAAAGAAACAATGCTAGTGACACAGAGAAGTTGACATAGAAAGAAGTCCCATTCTTTTATAACCACCTGCCTATCTCAGAAAATGGTAAGACATAAGCAGGCATCTCCCTCTAACCTCAAGTGTCAAGTTACTGAAGATTAAACAGCAACAGCTCTACCAATGTTTGAATGCATTGGTAAGGGTTTTCTCTTACAAAAGTGCAACTATTTATCGACAGGAGTGCCAATTTTCTATGGAAGCTAAGCAAGCAGAGAGAGTCATCTTGGTAAAAGTGTACTGTTTCCTCCAGAAAGATAGTTTCTACAACCTGAGAAGTTCTAACCAAACACAGTTTCCTTCTTCCAGTTGATCAACGTTGAAATCGAAGTCAGTTAAGGAGAGCAGCCAGTTGATGGAGCCTTTGGGCAAGTACTGGAAGTAGATTTCCTAACTCAACGGATGGATGTAGCCTCAGATACAGGCAGGGCATTGATGCAGATTTGGGTGTTCATCAAGAAGCTTGGTGAAAGGACAAAGCCAATACCCATAGGGCTTCTCCCCCAAGTGCTGCTGGAGATGGGTTTTGAGTTTGCTGATACTCTTGAAAAGTTTGTAGCAGACCTGGCAGGGAGGCAAGATCCATTTTGGTTAGCAATGTTGGCACATTGTAAAATACCATGGGTCATAGAAACTATACTTACATTCTACAACAGTGTTTCCCAATCTTGACAGCTTTAAGATGTGTAGACTTCAACTGGCTGAAGAATTCTGGGAGTTGAAGTTCACAGGTCTTAGTTGCCAACGTTGAGAAACACTGTTTTAAAAGACATGTCTTGGCTCATAATAACTCTTAGGTTTATTTCTTGCTTGTTTCTTAAAAAGATCACCATGTTGGTGAAAATGGTTGGCTTCTGGTAAGAATTCCTTGTTTGATGAGATCCAGAAAGGTGGCTCTGGGTTCAGACACCCTGAATAAAATCTTGCTGGCAGGAATCTGCCCAGTAGGAATGGCCTAAGAGCCATCAAACAACCCATGAGAAGAGCCAGTTAGGATTTCTCTGCTCTGATTGGCTGGCAATTTGATGAGGAAAGGAACACCTACCAGGCATTCATGTGATTTCTTGCCTGAATGCACCAGATGATGTTTCTGCAGGTGAGCCAACTGGGTGAAACGTTTTTTACAGATCTGACACTGAAAAGGTTTCTCACCACTATGTACTCTCAGATGAACCTGTAAGGGATAGGATAATAAAAAGGGATTACTTGCAAAGGGATGGTAATAAGGCTGCCAAATCTTGACTGCTTCTATGAATGTTTATATGAATGGGAAAATCCCAGAATGAAGGATATGCTCATCATAAAATTGGTCTGGTAAAAACAATTGGTTTTCCACTTCTTTCTTGTGAGTTTTTTTTTCCAATTTCATACTGTAGCCCAGTTTGCAATTTTTTTCAGGCTACAGAACCTGTTTTTTTTTATTCCAGACCTGATCAAAAGGCAATATTCTTTTAATCAGGAGGCCTGAAAATAAGCTGCATTCAAGTTTTTCTTTTTGCCCTTACCCAGGATTACATGGAGCACTGTTTAAAAAACCTTGGCTAGCCAGAAGCCCACTTTTTCCTGTTGATCTGCCATTTTATTAATCAGATCCAATCTGGTTTAGATTGAATGTAAATCTTCTCCTATAGTTAAGATTAACTTCACCCACTAATCAGCAGGAACTAAATAGAACAGACTTTCCCAATGTGTATGTCTGATTTCAAGTCCTATGATTTACAATGGCTATGGTGGCTGTGGATAGTTATATTCTAGTATATCATGATCCAAAAGCATCTTTCTTTCTTTCTTTCTTTCTTTCTTTCTTTCTTTCTTTCTTTCT